TCCAAACCATCCCAACGCGAAGTCGAAAGACCTACAAAAGAAAGAACAAAGTATTGTAGCACAATTTATTGTCTGCTATTCTTCTTGAAAATTAATTATTTTCATTCTCAGTTAATCTCTTTGTAATCGAATTTTATAATTTTTACAGTAAACGTAAGAAGTTTAAAGGCAGACTCTGATAGCGAAAGGAATAATAGTCAAAGAAGTGAGGCAGATTCGGATAGTGATGCGGATCCGGAATACGATGATTATTATGAAGAGAAACTTACTTAAATAACCGAAAATTTTCTTATAATGCCATGTCACACATCAAATTTATCAAATTTCGTTTTAATAATCATGGCAAATGTTTCAAACGTAAATATGTTTAATGTTCTAACAAATTGGCCAAACGATGCAACTATAGCTTTAATAAGGTAGATTTAATGTATTCACAACCACAGTATATTGCAACATGTAAGAAGTATATTAAACGAATTAGTTAAATAAATTTTAAACAATCATTTTTAGGCTTATGCAAGAATATGAAATACGAAGGGATAATAGACGAAGATAGAGGAGAGATGCTTCTTTATATAGTAAGTAAAGATCATACATTTGGACGGTATATACCATTCATCCTTAGTTAAACAATAGTTAATTATTTTATAATTTTAGGTGCTAGGCATGCCTAACGAAGTTAATATCAACAAGAAGAGTAACGAGAAGTTACCATTGTTCATAAAAGTTTAAAATAATTAAACATGCCAAATCTTATGTACCAGAAAACAGTTCCGATGACAAGTTATTAAAAATTTATCAGAACAAGAAGGAATGCAACAAATTTACTGCTTCTACTATTGATAATGACATATCAATCAATGTCTTATTGCCAGATGGGACAGAGTGGTACCTATAAGTAAACTATGCTCAGTAAGTTCTTCAAAGAGGTATACCTCAAGGGGAAGATGCCATTTACCCAGTGGTTGTTATTGAAGAGCATGTAATGACGCTCATCATAGTTTTTATGGCGTCCACACACGTCCATATAGGTGTTCAAGGGTAGCATAATTAACTGGGTGATAGTCCTTGCATGCTCTGAGATGATAATGACTAAAAATTTTTTTTTTTGAATTTTGTAGGGAATACTGGACATGGCCTGGAAATAGATGTGCACGAAAATTATTGCATTTGTTGCAATTATTCATATTGCAAATGCAAAGCTAAGAATCACCTTATAATATTATAAATGCTACAAAGGAAAAGGTGGTATATATAGAGCTAAAAATGGCATGACTCGATCAATAAAGTTTTAAGAAAAAGTATAGCGACTTCTTCAGATCAACAGAAGAAAGATAATAATGGTAAATTTTGAATACTTGAAAATTTTTCAAAGGTTTACTTTCGAAATGGAGAGACCAGAACACCTTTGGCTTTCCAGACCCATAAAAAAAAGTAAATGAACATTGGTAATCACTCACATTAAATTAAACTAACTACCTTGGGAATAGAATTAAATTATTATTTTACAAGAATTTTATTACACTATTAAATCTTATCACTATCATTGTTTATTTTGCTTTCTATACTTTTATAATTTAATGTATTAAATTAAATTAATGATCAATAAAAAACAAACAATATAATTTCTCTGAGTGTTGGAATTGTAAGAATTATCTCTAATAAATTTGGAAACTTTCTCCGATGTAAGGTATGATAAAAGTTATGATAAAATGGTGATAGACTTGAGTTGACAATGATGTAGATTCTATTTGGCGTCTAAAATTAGCACTGGGAAGGTATCGGACTCATTTTTATTAAAATTAGTAATTTTCGTAACAAAATAATAATTTAATAGGTTGCAAATGAAAATAGTAACATTATTACCAGCGATGTTTTAACTCCAGTGTATCGTTATTTAGTAGACGTAACATGGATAAATGAGAATAACCTTTATATATTAAAAGTAAGTTAACCAAAAATTAATTATAAATCTTCACAAGTAAACTCAAGACTAATTTAATACACATTATACATAGACCCAATCCATTATTTACAGAATTGAGCAAGAAACAAGAACACGAACGTAATAATAGCCAGCCATACAACTGTAAGCAGCCGAATTTCAACTTCGCATTCGACGAGTTTTATCAATTATCGTCATCTTTAGTAATATTACCTATGAGAATGGTATAATGAATCTGACAATACATCCAAAGTGTCTATATGGGAGTTAGGTCGGGGAGATCTGCACACATTTACTATTAGCTCTACGATTTCTTCAGGGCCGGCACTGTGTAATGCTGGTCGGCATTATCCACAAATGGAAGCGATCTACATGATTTGGCTCATTCTAAGCAAATAATCAGCCCTGACCTTTCTATGTATAGCTCAGTCCTGTCTATATCAGTAATTTTCGTCTCGAAGCGTCAATTGGTAACCTTATCGTTATAGTTTCTAAAAGTAGCATGCAACTTTTAATTCCTATATTATCACCTGTTATCGACTTAAAACTAAAGATGGTCATCGGTCCTAGAAGACCGCGGTCCTACGGTCCTACACCATAAAAAGACGGACCGGTCCGTCTTAGTGTAGGACCGCGGTCTTTCGGTCCTGTATCACATATAATAAGACCGTCTGTCTTTTTAAGGACCGCAGTCTTTTTAAGACCGATCGGTCTTTTTTCTTTTTTTTGCAAATAAAAAAAGATTTTCTTCCCTAACTTTATTAGGAATAGCCTTGTTTTATAAATGAACACTAATTGGGATGATTTTTAATATAAATTTTTTTTTTACAAATCACCTGGATATCATCACAAAACGTCATGCAAAATTTAAAGCTTTGAGAAAAAATACTTCAAAACGCAATATCTCGCTATCCAGTGATTATAAAAGGATTATTTTACCACCATTCGAATCGTCTCGCTGCGGCGCGTCGAATGGTATCAAAATCATGATTTTAGAATCGATAAAAAAAAAATTACGTCAGCAAAACTATTTGATAATAAATTCAATAATTACTGACTATCTATCGATCCTAGAAACATGATTTAGTCACCATTCGACGCGTCTCGCTGAGACGATTCGAATGGTGGTGGTTTCATCCTTTTATGATCACTGGATGATGAGATATTCCGCTTAAACGCTTTTTTTGGAGTTTCTGAGTTTCAGCGTTTTGACATGCAACTCTACAAGTGGGAAGAGTGATTGTTATTATTTATTGGTTTGGAAATGGCCGGTCTTTATATTATTTTATGAAGATATTTGTCAGATTAATAGGTTTATTCAATATAAAAATCATTTATTATATGAAGACCGGTATGAGGACTGGTCGGTCCTCAGGACCGGTCCTACTGCGCCACAAAAAAATGCAAGACCGCGGTCCGGTCCTACAAGTCCTGGGACCGACCGGTCCAGGACCGAGTAGGACCGGTAGGACCGATGACCATCCTTACTTAAAACCGAAGAAATGATTGATCAACAGAATAAACAATCAACTCAAAAATGAGTCGTAATTTAGGTAGATTTGATTTAAATTCCAATGCTATCATGAAAAAGCTTTGAAATTGGGCAGAAATTATTTTTTTTTCGATATTCAAATGCTGCAATGATGCTTTAAAACTTCTTTATAATATTGTAAATGGAAATTACATTATTTTTTTTTAATATATTAACAAGATTCTATAGTAAATATTTCAACCGTGTTTTTACATTTAGACGAATTTTGTTTCTTTCATTTAATTATCACCTGGTGATATGCCCAGAACATAAAAATGATTTAATGGAGACATTAGATTCACACAGGAAAAAACTTATAGAGTTTCTTAGTTATACTTAACTCAGATGCTTTCATCACGTCAGATACGTCAACAGAAATAAAATGTTACAATGATTTATTATCTTTAATACACGTCGAAAGAATGAGAAAAAAACAATTAAGAAAAAATTATCACTAAATAGAATATAAAGAGGAAAATAAATTAAAAAAAAATCAGTTTGAAAATAATAATATTATTATTATTAAAAAAAAATCAGGCTTGAAAAAAAAAAATCTGAATATTTTAAAATAACTGACATTAAAAAAAACGGGCTTGAAAAAAAAAATACAATAATTAAAAAAATCAAGATTGAAAAAAAAACTGGATTAATAATATTAACAAACTTTTTTCGTTAGAAAGATAATTAATTACACATGACCCGACAGCCAATCAAATTATTCAAATAATAAATACGGGAATAGATCAGGCGCAGACGTATCATGCCTTTCCTGTTACATAATCCACATAATTCAAGTTATTTAATTTTTTTTAATTATATAGATGATGCGAGGTTAATCCACTTAATGTTCACCATTATAATTGGCCAATATTAAAATCACGTGGATGAAAAATTTTTAAAAACTTGTCTATATGTACACATCTCAATAATCTCATGTTATTTTTAATATGATTAATATAAATAACAACATTAAAATCCATAAAATGACTAATAAAATGTCAAAATAAATGATAAATGATTGTATAATTTTATGTACGCCACGATTTAGTGAACAAAGTGAGGAGTAAATAAATCCGCCCGCCCTCGTGCCCCCGTCTCATTCAACAAACAATCAAAATTAAATGACTGAAATGATTCAAATGACAGATGAAATAGGAATAACGACAATGATTTATCAAACAATGGTAACGTAAAAGGAAGTTGGTGGATTTTTGTCGGTATTGTCCAAAAAAAGGAACGACCTTCATGATTCTAAACAAAACTCCGGACCGCCTAAATCCTAATTACTAAATGTAAATTACGCCAAAAAAAAATATTTTTAAATAAATTTAATCCTGGTAAGGCCATACAAATGATACAATAACAATGAACTATTAAAATTTCCAAAAAAACGTTTTCATTTGAAGATATTTGTCATTTGAAAAAAAAAAATTTTCAAAAAAAAAAAATTTCACACAAAAAACTATTCAATAAAAAATTCGTAATTGTATTTATTTAATAATACATAATCTTATAGGTGACATTCAAGAAATTTATGCCGCAGTAACGATCTAGACTTTATCATCGACTTTATTGTCTTCTATTAATAAATTCAAGAAACTGGTATCAAGATAATATTCTTTAAGTATATTTTCAATGCTTTGAACACGTTCTTCTAAAGTAACATTTCTGGTCCTTCCGCTAATAAATGGAATTGGTTCATAGTATTTAGTTTGGATTTTCTTTATAAGTCGTCTTTGATATCTTGTACATAAACAATTAAACGCATGTGTTTGCAAAAATCCCCTATCGAAAGGAATAAATTTTAATTTACAAATAAATTTATTAATTAATTGTAATTGTATTTAACTCACCATGGTGCTAATTTAGTTGCTCCAAATAAAAATACAAAGAACCCAGATAAAGAACTAAAGAATCCACCAACATTTGATATAATCGAGCCAACTAAAGAAAAGAATAAGTTAAAAAATTATTATAATTATATATTTGTTCTGAGAATTTATATAATTTGATAGTTACGATCATAATAAGATTCCTCTTGATAATAAATATCCGTTAATGTTGGTATTAATAAAAGAGTTGGCGCATTTCGAGTTGAAGCTGTTATATGTTCTGTATGTGCATTAAAGTCAACGAACTCTTTTACTTCTCCACCCGCAAGACCATATGCATAAATATCGACCATGTCTTTGCTAATTGTGATCGAATAATATACTACCATAGTTTGTTCACTCAGAGGAAGTGGTTGCCTAGTTGATAATTTGCGTGATGGATAATATTTGTCGTCTAATACAATTCCATCTAAATAGACTGCAGTGATAGGAGAATTTATCTTTATCTCTGTACTATCTTGAAAGTCAAAAGTATAATAGTTACAATTAGACATATTATGATGGTCATGGTACTCATCTAGTTTACAACCAACATTATAATTATAATTGTAAGTACAGTTTATAGGATATGATGAAGAACTACAAACTCCTACAATAATCTTAATATTTGCACTCTTTTGCTTACGGAAACTAAGATTTGGTTTAACAATCGAGTCAGAAAATAGTAAAAATTGATTATAAATATAAAAAACAAGCGTAATTACTAGTGCAAAAGAACACAATTTCTTTAAAAAAACAAAAGAAAATGGTTCAGTTGATGGTTTGTTTTCTGCAAATATCATTTTCTCTTGATATTATTTTATAAATATACAGTACATAAAGTATTTATTATTTCAGTCGAATGCGGGACACCTCATTGATTATGTGATACCATCGAGTTATCCTTTTTCCATATAAAATATATAAAGCAGATAATACAATATCAATTGAAGTGCACATCTCATCATGTTGAGTATTAAAATATTAAGAATGTTAAATTTTTTATTTATCTTATTAATCATCTTCGAAATTATATTTCTTATTATTTATCCTACAATCTGGCCACGTTTATTATGGTTCACGCTTCCATTTGTTTTTTTAACTGGCTTATCCGCGGTCTTTCATAAAACTATAATTCATGCTATAGCATTCTTAATCGTAAATTTTGTTCCAATTATGATAGCGCTTTGTAATATCTTCAAATTTAATTATTATTTTGGTATATATTTTTAATTATTAATTGTGTTTTTTATGAAAAGTGGTTCATTTAACTTGACTCTACGTCTTTTAAATATTAATTACGATAAGTATATGGTGATCAAATTTTAATCGATTTAAACAAAACAAATATCGAGAATTTACAAAACTTGACTGATGCATATGACAATTTTGAAATTAAGAAAATAAATGAAATTATTGAAGAATTAAATGAAAATATATCAAAGTATTATATACCTCAACATATACCTGTGGTGATAATTTTAGCAATATTTCAATTTACTTTTATAGCGTTATGTACTTTATTATTAAAGATAAGGTAGTAATTTATAATATTTGATTTTAATTAAATTTTTTAAACTAAATATAATTATACTTTTCTAGATCTTGGAGATGGATTAAGGAGTCTAAATTAAATAACAACAAGAAATGTATTATCTTTTTATCTGTTTAAAAGTTCTTTTAATTTAATAACAAATATTAATTTATTTTCTATTATGAACCAGGGGTCCATATTATTTATCAACTTGAGGGTACATTACTTTCAATTACAACTTCATTTCTTGGAATTTGGATATCAAAGATATACATTTTATATTATTGGCAACCAGGAGAAGTTTTTGGAGTAGTTCTTGGAGCAATTATTGATATATTCGATATCATTACAATTATTCCAATTTGTACGGTTTTCATAGCGATACAAAAAAATTCAAAAATCCTATATAGTTTATTTTATTTTGCAAGCCTACTTGAAATAGTAATTATAATTGAATTGTTGTATACGTATTATATTATTCTTTCTACACATAAAAGTAATTAATAATTTTTTTAAATTGAGAATTTTTTTTTTCAAATGATTTAAATATTAACTACATTTAATATTAATACATTCAGGTTATGTGTTTTATAGAGAAGTAATTATTATTGGTAAACAAATTCTATTAGAAAATTGTTTATATTTAAAAAATTGACTTTATATATACTAATAACTTGAATAATTATATCATCATATTCAGGTATACCAACTGTGTTGTTTTTAATAATTTTGAACGTTAACACAATTTTATGTCAGAAATATATTAACGAAAAAGTTGCTACACAAAGTGAGTAAAAAAAGGAAAAAATCCATGTTTATTAACGTTTCACATTATATACTAATTTACTTATTTATTTTATTATGTGGTTCAGAAAATAAACGGATTCTGATAAAGAGATCCATAATTTTTTTAAAAAAATCTTTTAAAAAATTTTTAAAATTTTTAGGGAAGGAACCAGATTTAGACTTAAACAAATTAAGTGTCAATGAATGGAAATTTGTGCCTAAATCAGAAATTTCATTATTGGAGATTGTAACCGTTAAAAGCGACAAAAATAACAAAAATAATGGGGCTGTAGGCGTTAAAAATGACAAAAATACTTCAAAAAAAGACCATAGTGTTGAAATTTTTTTTAATGCTAAATCTGATGTTATGATACAAACGAATTATCCTTTACCAAAAGCTCTTAAGAAAGGTAAGAATCATTAATTATCTGGAGTTTACTGCACAATTTTGTGGTAACCCATGCAATTTTCCTTCTTCCATCCACTTACGTTCCCTTTTATTTATTTTGTGACACGTGATTTTACTACGGTTTCCGTTCACCTAGTATATTATTATTTACTATTATCCAATTTTCCTTTACTAACTGTCACTTTCATCTCAAATATAATAATAGATACCTCTTCCATCTCTTCATCTCTTTCACCACCAGTCGAGTATTATTACTATGAAATTACAATCTTATCAAATCAAAATATTGATAAAACGATAATTGCTATTGGTCTTACTTCAAAAAATTGCTCAACAGACAAGTATGCATCTCAAGACATGAATTTTATATTTAGATCAAGCGAATTTTAACATATTTTTTTTTTTAAGATTACCTGGTTGTGACGCACATTCAGTTGGGTTTCATTCAGATGAAGGTAGAACATTTCGTAATGAAGGGTATACAGGTTCAAAATATGCTGAAAAATGGGGAGAAATAAATGATGTAATAGGTTGTGGTTATTGCCCAAGTATCGGACAAGTCTTTTTTACTATGAATGGTAAAAATTTGGGTATTGCTTACACCGGATTATTTCATCCTTGGTATCCTACAATTGGTTCTAACGGAGTTTGTAGTTTAAAAGTTAATTTTGGTCAAGAAGAATTTAAATATAAAGAAGCTAATGGTATGAGTGTTTCCGGAATGCTAGTATGATTAGGATGAACGCAAACCCTAAATCATTTACTTTTTCAAAATTTTGTTACTTTTCTGATGTCTCAATTATTAATTATTCTTGTATGAATTTCTTGTATCAATTTGATTTTTTAAAATATAAGTACTTTATTTCTTTTTACGATCTAATTTTTATTTTTACGACCTAATTTTTATTTACGATCTAATTTTTATTTTTACGGTGATAATTTTGTTCTTAAAAAAATTATAATTATTTATTATAGTGGACATGGTGCTTATTACTTTTTACCAAATAAGCTTAAAAAATATTTCATAATCATCATAATAATTATGTTCATATCTTGTTTCAACATTTCATCTATAAATCATTACTATCACTTTTATAACCATCGCTCCAAAATTAAACTCTAGTTACTATCGCCTACTATAGCTACTACAAACAGCATGATGTATTCAGTTTGATTTTAACTAAACCACTCACGTGACTTTGGCCCGCATTACTGCGTTAAGCACTAGCACAAATAGGATTTCACAAATTTAATGAAGGTCACGTGCCGGTGACCAAACTCGTGAATACGCACTTTCAAATCTTAACGGATAACGCTACCGGTCTCACTTTCGATATCGCAGACCGAGTGAATGATACTCCTCTTTTTAACTTATCATCAGATCACGGTCAATCCATTTCCTGACCTTACGAGCCTATTTTACAATTACGTCGGAAAAAAATTTATACGCGACCCTCTTCTAATCAAATATTTACAAAACTTTATCGCCAATCTTAATCGGACTACTTGGAAAGAACGAGCATCTCATTTCAAATCATGGGAAACATCACAGAATATCACTAAAAAGAAAAAAAAAGAATTACCACAAATTTCAAAACTCCTCCTCACACAAACGCTAATAGCAATTCTTCACAAGATAATGATCGGCGTCCTCGCCCACGACCTCGGTCACTCATACCTACTAACAGACCTTATCAAAAACCTCTTCTAAGATTAACGACGCATCATACATACGCTGGACTTCCAGCAATTTTTTACATTCTGGTGCTTGGGAAATTCATAGAGATAATTTACTTTTCGATAATGTTAATTTTTTTTCTTTTTTCTATAATATATCTTGTATAGTTACCTCCCTAGATAGATAGTTTTATTTTTAATTTTTATTTCTCTTTTTTCTTTATACTTTGCGTTCGGTTCGGGCCCTTCCCTCAGGGAAGGTTCGTCCAGGTTCGATAAAATAGATAACCAAGGTGACACTGTCAATTCTTGGCGGTTTGGTTCACGGTTTTATAGAAATTACTTTCGGTTCTATTATATAGTCTCCATGTAATTTGTACCGTGGCCTAGTTCACGTTGAAATAAAAATAAAAATAAAAACAAAATTATTCTTTATCTCAACGTAAAATCTTGTGCACATTTTCGATTATATTATTATGTAGTAACCGCACATTACTGCATCAGCAACTTTATTTATAAATAATAAATAAAAGATCCGTAAACGTCATTTCATTACTCATTTAAATGTGATATGGTAAGCGCTATAATTTTAGCCTTCATCATGAAATGACCAAGTGACAAATGAATTAGAATAATGACCATATCATTTGAATAATCAAATGGCCAAGTCATTTACTAAATATTGTAAACTCAAATAAATAAATACTACTAAAGGAAGTTCGGATTTCATGATGTAATTTGAACTGCCGGTATTGTATAAAGAAGGAACGATCTTCATGATTGTAAGCAAAACTCCGGTCCGCCTTACAAATTTGCTGAATGGAAATTACGCCAAATTTAAGTTCAATCCTAGTAAGGCCATACAATAATAATGAACTATGAAAAATTTCCGAAAAAAATGTTTCATTTGAAACAATTTATCATTTTTTAAAAAAAAACAAAAAATAAAAAAGTAAAAACTTGTTTTATAAAAAAAATTATAATAGTTATTATTATGTTATCCACAAACAAAATAGGGTATCATCCGAACACGAAGAAAAGAGATAAGAAAAATTGTTATTGACCGCGTACGAAATAATACAAATTAAATTGTAGCTTCATTTAGAAAGTAAATATTTTGCATTGTGTTATACAATAAATACAATAAATAGCATTTCAAATTGTGAAATATTAAATACTGAAAATAAATAAAGAATTGGTGTAATTTAGGTGATTAAGTGATTAATTGCTATTAGTTATTCGGCTTGAAGTGCCGAATAAGTGATTTATCTGGTATCACGTGATTTGAATACAATGATAAAATCACGTGATACCGGGCAATCATATGCTTATCAAGATTTTCGAGAAAAAAATATATTTGTCGGTAATTTGATTGTTGGTATAATGTGCCTGTCCGTTGTTGGACCGATTCTCGACATCCATTTTCCCGACATCCATTTTCCCGACATCAACGATGATTTCCCGACAAGATAAATTCCTGAATGGACATTTCCCCGAAAATAAAGCATTTTGATATTATCCCGACATGAAATTTCCCGAAATCAAATTATTAAAAATGTAACTTTGAGTTGAGTATATAGTATCTAACAATAACACACTATAAATCGCAAATATTTAAATTTTAATTAGTTTTATTAATAATAAAATATTGTTTTGCAAGATCTACGCAAACAGTGTTTTACAAATAGATATATAAAATAAACTGAGCAAAATAATCTATTTAGAAAATAATTATTGTCTCATATTTTTTGTCATTAATATCTAATATTTTTAAATATAAATTAAGATTTTCATTAATTTTAATTTCATTTACAATATTTCAAATTAATAAATTTGGCGATATTTCCTAAACTGTAAATAATTTATTAAATAAAATTAAGTATTTTTGTGAATCATTTTTCGTAAATCGATTTCGGGAAATTGTCATATCGAGACAATATCATGTCGGGAAAAGTTCATGTCGGGAAAAGTTTTTTTCGGGAAATTGTTGTCAAAAGTCGGGAAAATGGACCGGGAAATCGTTCCGTAACCTACCTGTCGGTAAAATGATTGTCGGTAAAATATGTCGCACCTGTCGACCAAATAGGTTGTTGGTTAAATAATTAATTGTCGGTAACATGGTTATCTCAAAACTTCGGTATCAAGATGATAATATTAAAAAAATTCATTTATTTGAAATAAAAACAAAGATTCGACGAGTTCAAGAAAATTTTCTTTTTTACTGTATGTCACCAATCATCTTATAAAGCATGCATTTATAACGATATTGATAAAAATATTTTTAATTACGTGGATGACATTTCAGTATTCCAAAATGAAATTTTTCTTATACTTAATTATATTACACTTGATTATATTACGAAAGAAAATTCAGAATGGATTTGTGGATTTAATAACGTCGGTCAGTTTTAACAAAAAAAAAAAAAAAAATCCTATAAGTGTATTATTATTAGTCCTAGAAGCAAGAAATCAAGTCAGCAATGTTCATATCGTTAGCTTCTTTATATGTAAATTCTTCTTGACCAAAATTAACCTTCAGACTACAAACACCATTAGAACCAATTGTAGGATACCAAGTGTGAAATAATCCGGTGTAAGCAAAACCCAAATGATTACCATTCATTGTAAAAAAGACTTGTCCGGTACTTGGACAAAAACCACAACCTATTACATCATTTACTTTGCCCCATTTTTCAGCATATTTTGAACCTGTATACCCTTCATTATGAAATGTTCTACCTTCGTCTGAATGAAATCCAACTGAATGTGTATCACAACCAGGTAATCTTAAAAAGAAAAAAAAAAATATTAAAATCGCTTGATCTAATTAATCTGAATATGGAAATTTTTGTAGAGAAATATATACCTGTAAATTGAATGATTTTTTGGAGCCAACCCAATAGCAATTATTGTTTCATCAATATCTTGATTTGATAAAATTGTTATTTCATAATAATAATATTCTATCGGTAGTGAAGGAGATAATGTAACGGAAGAGGTATCTATTGTTATAAGTGACAGTTAGTCGAGAAAATTTAGAATAATAGTAATAAAAGTGATAATAATAATACATTAATTAGTTCTTACCTTTCTTAAAAGAATTTGGTAAAGGGTATTTTGTTTGTATCATGACATCTGATTCTGCATTAAAAGAAATTTCAACACTTTTTGAAATATTTTTTTCATTTTCAATGTCGATGACGTCATCGCTTTTGTTATCATTATCATCAATATTTATGCTTACAATCTCTAATATTGAAATTTCTGATCTAGGTTCAAATTTCCATTCATTGGCACCTAACATCCTCAGGTCTGAATTTGGTTCTTTTCCTAAAAATTTTAAAAACTTTCTAAATATTTTTTTTGTAAAACTAATAAAGAAAACTATAGTTCTCTTTATCAGAATCTGTTTATTTTCTGAACCATATACTAAAATAAATAAATTAATTAATTAGTGTATAATAATGTAAAAACATTTATTAAGATATTGATTTTTTTTTTTTTTACTTACTTTGTGAAATAACATCTTCGTCAACGTATATCTGACATAAAATTGTGTTAATATTCAATATTAATAGAAGTAACACAGTCGGAATACCTGAATATATATATATTAATATATTTAGTTATGTTATTTTTAAGTATAAAAAATTTTAATAAAATTTATTTACCAACAATGGCTAGTTCTCTATAAAACATAATATTCATAACTTTTTGGGATGGTATTGCAAGACCTTTAATATCTGAATGTGTTGATTTTAATGTAGTTAATATTTAATCACTTGAAAAATTTTGTTTAAAATAATTATTAATTACCTCCAATTAAAGTTTTAAGAAAACGATTATATTCATATAACCATCCAATTATAAATGATGCTTTAAGTATGCTTGCAAAATAAAATAAACAAAATAGAAATTTTGAACGTTTCTGTATTGCTATAAAAACAGTACAAATTGGGATAATTGCAATAACATCTAATAGCTCAATAGTCACTCCAAATTCATTAAAAACTCCTCCTAACTGTCCAGAATATATGAAATATATCTCTGATAACCAGATTCCAAGATATGAAAATGTAGTTAAAAATAATGACTCCTCGAGTTGAAAAATAATATTGACATCTAATAGAAGAATAAGTTACTAATACAGTAATGAAATTAAAAAGAACATTTAAACTTATAAAAAGATAGTACTTTTCTTCTTGCCATTTAATTTAGACTTATTAATACACCTCCAAGATCTAGGATAGTAATATTTTTTAGTTAAAAAGATTATTTTAAAAAATCAAACATCATCAATTACCTCATTTTTAACAATAATAAACAAAATACTATGAAAATAACTTGAAATATTCCTAAAGTTATCACCACAGGTATATGTTGAGATATATAACGCTTTGATACACTTTCGTTTACTTCTTTTTTTAACTTAAACGCTTGCTTAGCGTCGTATGCATTAGTATATTCGCTTATTTTCTCGACATTTGATTCGTTTAATTCGATTAAAGTTTGAAAATTAAATACTTTTAGAAATTATTTAAGTGAAAATTGAGTGAACATCTTATCATAAAAATTGTAATTAACGTTTGTATAATTTTTAAAATATTTACCATTAAAATAATCAAAATCAAAGATATTACAAAGTGCTACCATGATTGGAACAAAATTTACGATCAAAAATGCTATAGCATGCAGTATTGTCTTATAAAATACCGCCAATAAACCAGTTAATAAAACAAATGGAAGTGTGAACCATAATAAATTTGTCCAGACTGTAGGATAAACAACAAGAAAAAGAATTTCGAAGATAATGAATAATATAAATACAAAATTTAATATTCTTAATTTTTTAATATTCAACATGTTTAGAATGCGCATTTCAATTATGTTGTATTATATTCCTTATATGTTATATATATATATATGAAACAAAAGATAATCCGATATCACATGACTACAAATGCGGTTAATGTAGGCCCGCATTTAATTAATATGATCCTTTGTCTTGGAATTGTACTTCCAATCTTATTACGCCAATCTCCAATAATTTTTAAGTATTCATATTACTATATCTACATACATGCAAATATGTAAATCTATGGTTTTAGAAATGAAAAAATGTACATTTTTATACTAGCTAGTAAAATGGTAGAGTTCGAATCATAATCAAGAGCCTAAAATTATGTATTTATATAATACACCAACAGTTTGTTTTTGCTTTTATTCAAAAATGATGTTCACAGAAAATAAACCATCAACCGAACCTTTTTCTTTTATTTTTTTAAAGAAACTGTGTTCTTTTGCGCTAGTAATTATACTTGTTTTTTATACCTATAACCAGTTTTCACAATTTTCTGGCTCGATTGATAAACCAAATATTAATGTCCGTAGACAAAACTCGAAAAAAGCATTAAGTGAGATACAAAATATTAAGATTATTGTAAGAGTTTGCAGTTTATATCCTATAAACTGTACTTACAATAATAATGAATGTGAATCAAATGAGTACGTTGAACGTCGAAATATTCCTGATTGTAATAACTATTATGCTTTGAACTTCCAAGAAAAGGTGGAGATAAAGATAACTCCTTTTATTAATGATATTTATTTTCATGGAATAGTAATAGATAATAAATTTTATGCATCATTATTTAATAAATCTAATTCTTTATATATTGTAAATGATCAAATTAATGTTATATATTATTCATTTACAATTAGCGAACGTATAGTTAGTGATTATGTATATGGTCTTGCAGGTGGAGGGGAACAAGAGTTCGCTGATTTTTTTGTATATACAGATCATATAGTATCTTTAAATACTCTAAACGCAACAACGCTTGTATTAATGCCAACATCAATGGATATTAATTATCAAGAGGAATCTTATTATGATCGTAATTATCAATTTATACTTAAATATTTTTATAGAAAATAGAAAATAATTTTTTAAATTTATTCTTTTTATTTTTTAGTTAGCTCGATTATATCAAATGTCGGTGGATTCTTTAGTTCTTTATCTGGATTCTATGTACTTTTATTTGGAGCAACTAAATTGGCACCGTGGTAAGTTAAATATAAATTATATGTAATTAATAAATGTATTAGTGAATTAATATTTCAATTAAATTATCATAGGGGATTTTTGCAAACTTATGTATTTAGTTGCCTATGCACAAGATATCAAAGGAAACTTATAAGAAAACTTCAAATTAAATATGAACCAATTCCATTCGTTAGTGGAAGGACAAAAAACATCACATTGGAAGAACGTGTCCAAAGTATCGAAAATATACTTAAAGAGTATTATCTTGATACTGATTTTTTGAATTTATTATTAACAAAATATAATAAAATAGATGATAATAATATCGATGACAATAGTATCGATGATAAAGTCTAAAATAATAATTATTATTGCAAAAATATCTTGGACATCACTTTTAAGATTTATGAATTATTGACTAACGTTTATGACCTACTTTTTATTTTCTTGGCATCTTTTGAAAATATACCGAATGTCCGTAATAATTACTTACAGCTTTAAAATTTTTACTATTTAGGTTTAGAGCAGAGACAGTAAATTTTGTTAGGTCACACTAAAATGTATGACAATGAATTTCACGCCCTTAAATTTATCATAGGGAACGAATGAAATTCCATTTGGTGTTTCGATCTCCATAAAAACCGTTATCCGGAAAAATATCCGGTTTTTATCCGGATTCCAACCGGATGAACCCAAATACGAATTGAAACACTTATTTCATTCCCTACTCTTTTTTACAATAATTAGTTGATGTGTGCCTTATGAAGTCATCAATCACTTTATTTCCACTTACCGGAATCTTTTTGCTTATAACATTGATTCACAAACAGATCAGCACAAAATTAATGATTATTTACAATAATTTACGAAATTGAAATTACTCAATCCAAATTAAATTTAAGAATGACAATCCGTTTTTTTTTAAATTATGAATGATAATATGTTATATCGAACTTTAAGGGATAATCCAGTTTCAGTTTCAGCCGTAACAGATCGATCAGCATAATAATGTTAATAATACTAACAAATTGATCAGCATAATAATGTCAAATCGATCTGCATACAATAATATAATCTTAACCAAGTTAGAAAACTCGCATGTAAACTTCATTTTTCGCAAAATTTGATTATTAATAAACGAAAAAACGAATAATTACATTTATATTTTATTTTATAATTTATGCATTGGAAAACATAACATTTTACTATTGATCAACTGAACAATAAAACGAAAAAAAGATAAAATAAAATAAAACGAAGTAAAATAATACAAAGGAAAAAAGCTATAACTAAAAAAAACGAAGAAATAAAAAATGAGGAAAAAGTAAAAAAATAAAAATACAAATAAAAAATAAAAAAAAATAAAAAAATAAAAAATAAACAAGTTTTTTATATTGAACTTTAATAGTACCAAATTATTTAACATAATGAAAAAACTGGTGTTAGACGCCAGTGGTTTAGGACACCACTCACACTAGCGATGTGGTTTAGTTATCAAATTGATCCCATAAAAAAATTACCAAATATATCCCATCAAATAAACCATAAATACACTATCAATATTTTGAACTAATTACAGCATTAGTAGTGCATTATCGTACAGTGTGTATAAATTTAATAAATTTGTATTGTAAGACTTAGCAATTAATTAAGTGCATTTGAAGTTAATGCAATTATTACAACATTTTTCACTATTATCACAAGTAAAGTTAGTGGGCAAACAATCCGAAGGTGTTGCCCTCTCGGTTTTAAGATAGTGTGCTTCAATAAAAATTGTTAAAAAACAAAGAGAAGCAACGAAAATTACTTTTAAGAATGTAGAAAAATGCATTGTGTATTGGAATGTAATAATTTTTCAAAAATTGAATTATTAAAACTTGAATTTTAAAAAATTGAATTTTTTAAAAAAAAAAACTGTCCAAAATTTAGGAATCTTTATAAGAAAATTTGAATAGGAATCAATTACTATATTTGACCGATCTATACTATTTTATTGCGAATGAGTTTTTTAAGTTGATACATTACTTCAAATTTCTTTTTAAGTACTGATTAGATAATAGTACAAACGCTATTATTTTTAGGGGCTGCATTTTAAGAGAATTCATTTTCTCGGCCAGTAGATCATTATCCACCACTTACGTAATTAAAATTACGGATATAACTATAAATATACACATATCCGCCGATCTGCAGCAAATCGGCGGGATATGCTATATGCGATGGTTTTGAGGTGTGACGTGTAACATTTTTTAAAGAATTAACTTAAATATGACCAATCCCATTTTTCGTAGATAATTGCCAATTTGTTGATCAGAATGTTAGAATTCACAATAATTCTAATGAACTTTATTTGATCATTTCTATTTTTATTAATTTATTGTCTTAATACCGTGACAGCTTTCGCTATAATCATTAATACTAAAGAGTGGTTCGTATCCTGCCAAGACATTCAGTGGTTATCGGCCTATTGGTTTAGAAAAAATTTTATCAAAAACTCCGTGAATATGATACATTTACGGAAATAACATGGAATAAAATACTCAGAATAAATTCTTTATAGGGCTTTTTACTAATAACTATATACAGGATTTTTTATTAATTTTTTGCATTATTTAAAAATTCTAGTAAATACATTTTTAGAAATATACTTTATTTATTTACTTACTTACTTATTTATTTATTTTACTTACTTATTTATTTATCGTTTATTTATTTATTTATTTATTTTTTTATTTTAAAAAAAGAAAATAACAATGATATAATTTCGGAATATAATGCACAAGGTTTATTAAATTTCACATTTTACTCGTCGGTTGATCCCCATACTTCATTCAGTTATTTGAAACTATTTATAATGATTAACATATTTAGAAAATAATTTGTTGATCGAATAGTAACTTTATTTCTGATCTAACAAATCGATTGACCAATCCCCAAAACCCCACACGGATAAATGGTTTTTACTGCCACTATCACACTCTGCTCTTGATGGCGTAGAAGTCGAAAAATTTTTATGAACTTGTAACAAAAACGTCGGAATCAATGAATTTCTTTAAGCAATAAAATTTTAATGGTACAAGCGTTCAATATACATATTATTTATTTGGTGTATCTCAATATCCAATGCTAAAAATGATGATAAACTATTTAAGAATATCTTGATGACGTAGAAAAATACAATGTGTGACGATTGATGTTGGAATACGAGAAACATTTATAAAGTTTTTTTCGGAAAAAACGATTTAGGAAATCTTAAATGAACAAATCCGAGTCTTCTATAAACCTTATAATTTTAAACAATATTATCTAAATATAATATATAATATTATTTTGATATCATTTGATATTGTTACAATAATACAATATCAACATCATTATGACAAATAATGAAATGATATTGTTATGATATCAGAATGAGGCTGTTGAGGCGATCTTTAACAATCTTGTTTGAATTTTTAAAGTTTCGGAAAAGAATTTTTTTTTAGGCCACACAAAATTCGATTTTTCGGTTCACATCACCCGGGACCCGGCCGGGTCACTTTTTTATTTTATAATATAGACAAGAACAGGAAATAACAGAATTGGTCGTTACAAGTATTACAAATACCAGACTTAACTAATCCAAAACAAGTTATATTCCAACCCCACCAAATGGGGGCGTCTCGTCTGTTGGGTCACTTTTTCAATTTTCAATAAAAAAGTTTATAAAAAATTATCACGTGATGAACTAATGCTTTTTATATTGTTTATTATTCGTGTGTCGTCTCAGAAAAATAAATATAACAGTAAATATAAAATACTAGTATTTATAATCCTCTAATACCAAATTACTAAAATTTTTACTAGCATAGCTTCTTCAAGCGATGCATTATGCTGAAACTTTTTCACGACTAATGTTTTGATGGCCTAGATTCCACTTCAAAATCTGCTTCTCACTCAATCAGACGATAAATGTAAATCGATCGATCTCCACAAAAGTCTTCCTTTTTTGCTTCTTTTCAACAAGTAAACCACTATTACAGCAAAATTCGAAATATAGTGAACACTTGAAAATTTTGATTGTCGGGATTGTCGGGTACCCGGGTTAGTCGGGTTATTAACACAGACATATAACACGTGATATATATATGATGGCGTAGTATAAAGTATAATTGTATAATACTATATAATGAACTCTCTCTCCCCTTTTCGTTTTTTTTTAAATAGAAATCCGCAGTAAATTTTATTTTATTTTTTTTTTTCACATTTTAAATTTTTTTTTTCGAGGAGTGAGGACTACTTGGTGGCCTCTACGGAAAGGCCTCCTCTATACCCTAGACCCTTAAGAGAGATGAAACGCCGTTTCTAAGAAGTCTACTAAAAATATTATAGCTTCTTCTTCAAATTTTTCAAAAAATCCCATTACAACAACGAAAAATACTTTCCTTGTCTCTATGAATAAATTTCACGTGATGACCGATTGTCGTACTGAGATTTATGAATCTTGGCGTTCAAAAAGTTTTTTTTTTTGAGCTTGCCGATCTTTTCTCAGACACCAATAACCTTCATTTATTAATTCACACTAATGATTATCAGTAAAATGCTCACACACTTTTTTTCCTTACAAAAAGTTTTTCCTCGGCAAATTCAACAAAAATACTTTAATCTTATACGTCGAAAATTATTGGAACGTATCGACTTCATCAAGTCACGAGACTCTAACGAGTCCCTTAGAAATAAACTTACACGTACCTTTTTTAACTTCTCGTATAAACGTTACCGTTTTTACTTTGGTATTTACATCCTTTGCGACCACTTCTACGCGCCTAAATCTTCTAGGATTGCTACCCGGTGTCGTGGTCCCAGCCCCTTTGTTATGTCTAAGAATAGACATGCTTGCGGTGCTCATCAATCAGTGTTTTTTCACAATCAAATTAATAACAACCTCAAATTTACACCACCCGACGAACTGATTTTTATTAATTCAAAATCTTCACATGCTAATCATATATTTGATCTTTGGCAGAATCGATATCTCCAAAAAATATTCTCTAACCGCCTTGGTATTGAATATACTTCGCGCTTCACAGCCAATGGTACTGATTTCGTGCGGCGATATCCTACCGCTTCGATATACAGAAAACACTTATCGGATTTTAAACTTATTCCAAGCAAAAATCCCAGAACTAGACGTAAACAAGAAGCCCGTTTTAAGCGACAATGCAACCGGCTGGTTCTTCGACTCCCCTGGAAAGCCTTAAGGACAAACTTGATGCCGGAAGACGTTATCGCTTCCTTTTCCTCGGGACTCAACACATTTATAAAGTGATTCACCATTTAAAGTACAAACGTCACCCGAACAAGAAATTATCTGATTCTAATGATTATGCATTCAAAATTCCTTGTCATTCACAAGCTGGTACTAACAGCTTAATTCACAATCGGTTATTACCTAATTTACAAAACACTTTAACAGTTCACCCTACTCAACCTCCAGTGGAATCATTACCTCCAGTGGTTACTTCCATCCCAAATATTTATCACCTTCGGAAATAGCGGCGCTTGCTCCTTTTCTTCCACCACTTCCACAAGCTAACAACTTCTTCAAAACAGCTCAAGGATATAATCCATTTGATCCGACCCGTCTCGGTTGGAGTTACTATTTACAATACGACCCCGAACACCCGAACTTACCCCGGAAATATGTGTTCGCAGCCCTGATCCGCTCAACGTTGATGCAGGATGACGGGAATACGAAGATTTTATGTCATCACCATTTGCACCGACGCCTTTTCCAATTCCCAACACATGCAACAACATTTTTCCGACACTCCGGCTGATTACACCTCGGACGGAACTAAACAGGTTGAATCCCGTCCTCTTAAGAGGGACAATCTCTCTGATTCTTTAGAACACGTTCGAAAGGACACACTGTTAAACGACCTCGACACGCACGTGATCGGACTCCCCGATCGCTGGTCCTAGTACTAAATGATTTTAGTTTAGTTTTTCTTTATCTACATTTAATTTTTACTTTGTAATGAGTCTTTATTTTTTAGGCTAGTTCCTTTTATATTTTTACGCATCTACACATTATACATCATATTACAACTCCACATTAATGTGTACTTACGTACTTCTTCAAAACAATTTAGAATAGTGTGAATCACTCCACTTATGACAGTATTTACAAGTGGCAGCTTAAGTGCTGAAAGAAAAATACGTTTCTTATTAATTTTTTTTTTAGGGTTGTAATTTTTCTTTAATGGTTCCTTTCGGTAGTTTTAATTCGGTTACGCTATAGACCGCAGGCTATGCCTGGTGTGTTTTTCTTAAATAGCAGGCAGGGCGATTTCACTGGTTCTCCAGTTGAGGTTGGGTACTTTCATGACATTGGGTTTATTAGACTTGTAGTTTATGTTTTACTCATTTATTTGAATGCCTGTCCAATTTGTCTTATTTCTTTAGATTGTCAAAACACATATGGTCAAAAAGCACTTGTCAAGCAAGAGAAGTAATATGGAAGAGGAATAAAGCTGAACGTAATTATGCAGTAGAATTTGTTCACAAACCCCCTCACGCCGCAAACCAAAAAAGTTGTGTTGGACTCGGAATTTGTTGACTGGGTTTTTGCTAATATTTCGAAGGAAATAAGGAAATTGAACTTTTACCAACCCAAAATGATGTATTACATTATATAGTATATTCAATTATACTTTATTATACTTTATACCACGCCATATATATATGTCACGTGTTATATGCCTAATAACCCGACTAACTTACATAACTTACAATCCCGACAACCAAAATTTTCAAGTGCCCACTATATTTCGAAACCCGGGTCCCCGGGTCCCGAGTCGATTTTAAATTCCAATTGTTACGTGAACCGAAAAATCGAATTTGTGTAACCTTTAACATATTTTGTTATTAATACTTAAGAAAATCTTATTAATAGGATTTTGGGTTAAATTAAAACAATACTTTATAAGTGTTCACATGTATATCTACAATTTCTTAGCATACTCTTTCTTTTTTAAGGTTTTTTTTTATTTATATACTGTAACATTATTTTACAAGATATTTGATTCTGCCACTCAGCAAATAATTATGAGAAATTCTTCACTACTAGATCTATTCAAAGACTTAACCATTTTTATATCGCAAAATATATAGAGTTTTTGATTTTATTTAGAAATTTCCTCAAACGGATAATATCCTAGGATTGAATCCGGATATTTATTATCCGGATTGTATCCGGATTAACTTTTGCATTGTATATCCGGATCTACAATTTAAGAAATGGATAATCCTATATGATAATCTAGGATTTTGGCGAAGATATAATATTTATTGTTTAAAATGTAAGGAACGATATATAGGTTTATACCAAAAATTAATTGACCTTAATTGATATTACGATTGACATACTATCATACTATGATTGACATTTAATGTGAAGAAGAATTTTGTTAAAAGAATAATAATTGATACGGTCATTTACTCGAAATTCTTTATAACATTATCGTCGAAGAACATACTAGTAATAAGCGAAACGGACGAAACCAGTGATGTATTCGAAGAATTGCATATTTTCGCTATTATTAATATTTTAATATGTACTTCCCTTCTAATATTAGTCACTGACAAAGTAACACATATTATTTAAACACGTTATCTTTCTATAAAGTTAAATATTGAAAATGTTACTGTATATTAAAATTAAAATAGTCTCGCAGAGGCTTCTTTATTAATAAGCCTATAAAGACTTTTCGGCAATGATATTTTTAAGTATACAATCATTGTAGTATATACTGTAGATTATAAAATACAGTATTCTAATTAATATTTTAATTAAAAAGTAGCAGCTCAACTTTCTATTATTTGGCTATAGTAGCGCTTTACTGGCAAAATTGCAAATTGGCTCGAGAAAAAAATTCGTCCTTTATCCTAATTTTTTTTTTAAAATTTTTTTTTTTTTTCGAAAATAATCCTTTACCTAATGAAATCACTGGAATCACTTCCCTAGCCGCCCTATAAATGGAAAATTCCAATAAATGATCATTTTTCTAGTTTTCATTCCAAAAAAACTCCGATGTGATCAATTTCCTAAAAAATTTTTTATAGGGGCCCTTACTCTATATATTTATAATTCTTACCTCCCTTAATTCTTGTGGTAGTGAAATAGTGGAGTAGGTGGCACAAGACCATCTCTCGAGGTTCTCAACCGTATATCTTTCGAACATATGATACGTTCATCCTGAGCATCCTCCTTTAGATCCAAATGATAATTTTCTAGCATTACTTTTCACATATAGTAATCATCGATGATTATTGTCAATTTGGGGCATATTGAGATTTCGGGCACAACATCGATATCATGAAATTTGCATTATTTTATTTTTACTATATCAGATATGTAATTAAAAGAAAAATATTTATTTATATTTGGTATTTATAGTTTCTAATGAATAAAAGCAAAGTTGTCAGAATTATTAATAAATTTAATTTATTATTGCAATTTGAAAATAAAGTCTATAATTTTTTTAAAGCAGTAAATTTTACTAAAAAATAATTAATTTGAAATTAACTGAACGCTAAGACGCAGCAAAGGTGAAAGGCGCAGCCAACGAATAATTTTCGGTGAAATGACAAGTCGGGGATGTCTAAAGCGGAGTATTATCTCGTGATCATAGTAAAAATAATTGTCACATTTGTAATTTCTTAATCATGCCGTAATGCTGGTCAAAACTATTCCACTTTAGAAGATCCCCAAGTAGAGGTAATTGTCATGCCGGTAAAATGCATTTCAGTGAAATGAAGTTAGATAATTTTCATATCAGCAATATGGAAGTCAGCAAAATGATGTCGGTTAATTTCATGTCAGTTATCCCTATAAAAAATTTTTTGGGAAAAATTCTGATAAATGATCATTTTTTTTAGTAAAAAAACTCCGATATGTGATCAATTTTCTAAAAAATTTTTATAGGGTATGTAATAAACATTAAAACATTTAAGAAATACTCACAATTTATAATATTACTACCAATGAAATTTTATTATTATCGATAATAAATTCATTGGTAGCTACAAGTTTTCCCAGACCTGAATCAAGGAATAAGACAGCGGTAGCAACAAATACATTTCGAAATGATGAAGTTAAAGAAAATGAGGAAGGTACCAAATAACTTTAGGGATGTTAACGGTCCGGACGGTCCGGTCTTCATCAGTCCGCGGTCCGGAACTGGACCGAGGACCGGACCGATCAGTCCTTGGACTGCGGTCCTATAAAAAAAATTTTTTTGAAAATTTATAATTCCAGCCGGAGTTAATATTTCCTAATACAGTCGTCCTCCCATATAGTCACCCTCTGTATAATCACAACTCCCTTATAAGCACATTTACATTAATCCCAAGTTACTAATAAACTTATTAAAAAAACCTTCCCTTTAATCACATCATATATAATTATTATAGTCACACCATTTTTTTTTNCATTTACATTAATCCCAAGTTACTAATAAACTTATTAAAAAAACCTTCCCTTTAATCACATCATATATAATTATTATAGTCACACCATTTTTTTTTGGTCCCGAAGGGTGTGATTATATGGGAGGATGACTGTATGTAAATTTGCGCATTCCCAATGTCACGTGATACTTGATAAAGTTAGAAATTTGATAAATTCAATTCATGCATACGTATGAAAAAATTCATCAAAATGAGTCGGGTGATCTAATATTTTTGCAATTAGCGGTAAGAACGTTCACTTTGACGAACAATATAAGGTTCTTAAATAATAAGGTGAAATTTATTGGAGATTCAATATAGTTTATTATATCGTTTTTTTTTGTTCTTTTTTTTTTCGCCATAAGTAGCATAAAATCCCAAAACATAAGAAAATCAAAGAATGTTTTAATTTATGTAAATTTATACAATAATAAGTAGCATCTGGTTTTATTAGGATTAGGTTTTTTCTTGTAGGTCATTTACTCATTTACGTACATTATGGTACCAGACTTTGGGTACGTCGATAGAAAAACTCATATTTTCATTATTTACTTTTAAACATTACTAAAAATCGAAATAATAATAAACTAAAATAATAATGTAGTTAGCCGTAAATATCTAGCCGTAAATAGTAGTTAAATAAACAAATCATTCAAGATCGACATGGGTTGGGTGTTGTTAGCCGAAAATTTACTGCGCCTTCGGCTGAATTTTTCGGCTAACTACACCATTATGAAACCAGTCCAATTTCCATGGTGTACGCCAGATTTCAATGAATTAATGAAGTTTCCTGTTTTTGTGATTATTCTGAGTTAGACAGAATCTCTTCAGCGAGAAGTAAAAATAAGCTGCAATAATCGATATCAACCATTTTGAAAATAAAAATTCCAAAAAAATTTTGTACAATTTAATAGTTTCGAAAATCCATGATATAAATATATATTATTGGAGTAGCTATATACCGAGATGAAAATGGGTCACGTAGTCCAATCAATAAAGGGCCCTAGCCTCACATCCAATAAAAGTGTTATCGTTCTGACGCTTTTGATCATGCATTAATTACACTAATTATTAACATCATAATTAAGCTTATACCTAACTTTCCATCTATAAATTTCCACTTTATAAGCTTTATTTAAAATATTTATAAACATTTTCATTTACACTCTTTATACTCTACTTTATCATATGTATAATCATATATATTATATCGATCTATGAAAATCTGAATGATCCTATTAGGCTGAACGATAATTATTCAATAATGCATGATCAGTCATAATCCTGAAACGTATACTGCAATAAAAAAAAATATATATCACAGTTCTGAAGGGACGGAATTTATGCCGTAGAAATAATCTCATTATTATTCTCGGCTTTATAAGGAATCATGTTAGTAATACTCAAATCATTAGCTTCCTTATATTTAAATTCTTCCTGACCAAAATTAACTTTTAAACTACAAACTCCGTTAGAACCAATTGTAGGATACCAAGGATGAAATAATCCGGTGTAAGCAATACCCAAATTTTTACCATTCATTGTAAAAAAGACTTGTCCGATACTTGGGCAATAACCACAACCTATTACATCATTTATTTCTCCCCATTTTTCAGCATATTTTGAACCTGTATACCCTTCATTGTGAAATGTTCTACCTTCATCTGAATGAAATCCAACTGAATGTGTATCACAACCAGGTAATCTTTAAAAGAAAAAATATATATTAAGATCGCTTGATCTAATAATGGAATTTTTGTATAGAAATATATACCTGTAAATTGAATGATTTTTTGGAGCAAAACCAATAGCAATTATTGTTTCATCAATATGATGATTTGATAAAATTGTTATTTCATAATAATAATATTCTATTGATAGTGAAGGAAATAATGTAACGGAAGAGGTATCTATTGTTATAAGTGATAGTTAGTAGAATAATCACATAACTGCGCTAAAAAAGTAACAATAATAATGCATTAATTAGTTTTTACCTTTTATAAAAACATTTGGTAAAGGATAATTTGTTTGTATCATGACATCTGATTCTGCATTAAAAGAAATTTCAACAGTTTTTAAAGTATTTTTATCATGTTTAACGCTTATATACTCTGATACAGAAATTTCTGATTTAAGTACAAATTTCCATTCATTGATACTTAATTTCTTTAAGTCTAAATCTGGTTCTTTTTCTAAAAATTTTAAAAACTCTTTAAAAATTTTTTTTAAAAAACTAAAAAAAAAAAGTGTAGTACTCTTTATCAGAAACTGTTCGTTCTCCGAACCATAAACTAAAATAAAAAGATAAAAAATTAGTGTATAGTGTAAAAAAGCGTACGTTAATAAAGATATTTTTACTTACTTTGTAAAACAATATTTTCGTCAATGTATTTCTGACATAAAATTGTGTTAACATTCAAAATTATCAAAAAAAACATAGTTGGAATACCTGAAATTTATAAATTATAATTATATATGTTAGAATATAAATTTTCTTTATATAATAAACAATTTTCAATTTACCAATAGTAATTATTTCTCTATAAAACATAACATCAATAATATTATTGGAAGGCAATATAAGAACTTAATATTATTATTGAATATTTTAATGTGGTTAATATTTAAAATCATTTGAAAAATTCGATTAAAAAAAAATTATCAATTACCTTTGGTTGAAGCGATAATGTAAAAATAATATTTACATAACAATAAAATTATATTTGTTACTTCGATTAGGCTTGCGAAGTAAAATAAACCATATAGAATTTTTGAATGTTTTCGTATCGTTATAAAAACAATACAAATTGGAATTATTGTAATAATACCAAATACATCACTGATTATTCCAAAAATTGTTCCCAAAACTTCTCCTGTCTGCCCATGATATAAGAGGTATATCTCTGATTTCCAAACTCCAAGAAATGAAGTTGTAATTAGAAATAATGCCTCCTCAAGTTGATAAATAATATGGGCTTCTAATAGAAGAATAAATTAATACAGTAATGAAATTAAAAAGAACCTATAAACTTTATAAAAAGACCATACTTTTATTATTATTAGTTAATTTACACCTTTTAATCCATCTCCATGATCTAACAAAGTATAATTATATTAGAAAATTATTTTATAATATCTCATGATATTATAAATTACCTTATCTTCGATAATAAAATACAAAGTATTATAAAAGTAAATTGAAATATTCCTAAAATTATCACCACAGGTATATGTTGAGGTATATAATACTTTGATATATTATCGTTTAATTCTTTAGCAATTTTATATTTTTCCTCACTAATGTCTCGTTTACTACTCGAATAATTTATATCTTCGGTATTTGTTTCGTTTGAAGCGAGATAATAAAATTCTTATTATTATTCAAATGATGTAAATTCAAAATTATATGAACAATTTTTTTCGTAAAAAATCGGAATTAATTTTTTATGCAATTTTAAAAATATTTACCATTAACATAATCAAATTTGAAGATATTGCAAACCGCTATCGTAATTGGAATAAAATTTACGATCAAAAATGCTATAGCATATATTATTGTTTTATGAAAGACCGCGGATAAACCAGCTAAAAAAACAAATGGAAGCGTGAACCATATTAAACGTGGCCAGAATGTAGGATAAACAATAAGAAAAATAATTTCGGAAAAAATTAAAAAAATAAATAAAAAGTTTAATATTCTTGATATTGTAATATTAACCATGTTCAGAATGTGCACTTTAATTATATTGCATTATCTTCTTTATATCTGTTTTATACTGAAACAGGGTAACTTGACAACGTCATCAATTTCGGTCAAATGACCTATGATCGGCCGAATTTTTAAAAGGTTGCAGTATTCTAATTTATTTTAATGTATTTTCATTGTTTCATTGTTTTATTATGTTCCAAAGTATTTTTCTATGCAGAAATTAGAAAAGAGAGTTTTTTTATGCACCAAATTTGTTGGTCGATCAAATAACTCGATCAAGCTAATATCTTATGACCAATCATTGATTGATTAGTAATGTCGATTAAGAACTTTACCGTGTGTAATAAAATAAGTATTTATATTATATTTTAACAGCTGTTTCATCTTTATTTTATTCAAAATGGTATTCGCAGAAAACAAACCATCAACTGAACTTTTTTCTTTCATTCTTTTAAGAAAATTATGTTCTTTTGCACTCATAATTATTCTTATTTTTTTTACATATAATCAGTTTTTGCAACTTTATTGTTCAATTATCGAACCCAATATTAATACCCGTAATTTTTATAACTTTAAACAAGGCATCGACAAAAATATTAAAATCATAATGTTAACTTGTAGTTCACTTCCTTTAAGCTGTACTTACAATAATGGAGAATGTGAAGAGTACGGTAATGATATTGATGCTTGTGAGAATGATGATCATACCTATCGTTATGCTTTTAATTATCAAGATATAGTAGAGATTACTCCTTTTATCACTGAAGCTTACTTAGCTGGACTAGTAATAGATAATATATATTTTCCATCAGAAGAATTTTTATTTAATAAACCCAATTCTATACTTCTTGTGAATGAACAAATTAATGTAATATATTATTCATTTACAATTAGCAAACGTATAATTAATGATTATGCATATGGCCTTGCGGGTGGAGAGGAAGATGAGCACGTTGTATTTATCACACATACAGATCATATAACAACTTTAGAGACTACGAATGCAACAAGGCTTGTATTAATACCAACAACAAAGGCTATACAATATCAAGAGGAATTTTATTATGATCGTAACTATCAATTTATAATTCTTAATAGAAAATAAAAAATAATAATATTTTAATATATTCTTTTAATTTTAGTTGGCTCAATTATATCAAACGTTGGTGGATTCGTTAGTTCTTTAACTGGATTCTTTGTATTCTTATTTGGATCAAATAAATTAGCGCCATGGTGAGTTAAATGATTATATACAATATATAATAATTAATAAATGTATTTTGTAAATTAATACTTTTTTTATTTTTCTTCTAATAGGGGATTTTTTCAAAAATATGTGTTTAAATGTTTATGCATTAGATATCAAAAAAAACTTATTAATAAACTTAAAACTAAATATGAACCAATTCCATTTGTTAGTGGAAGGACCAAAAATGTTACTTTGGAAGAACGCGTTCAAAATATTGAAAATATACTCAAAGAATATTATCTTGATACTGATTTTTTAAATTCATTATTAATAAAACATAACAAAGTCAACGACAATGAGTACTATGATAAAGTCTAATTTATTAATTAATTATTATGTCATACATTTCATTTCATGGACTATTATAAATAATTTATAAATATGTAATTATTAATATTTATTCACGAACCTAAGAAAATAGAAATTAATAGAATATTTATTTAGAAATTCATTGATTATTCAATCGAATTTAATGTTTGGTGTCACATATTTTATTTTTTATTCTGGACTTATCCCAAATCTAACTAGTTTAGGTAAGATTCCCCGCCGTAATTTTATAATTATGTACACTACGTATTACAAATGGTTTTACAAATTTAAGGTTGCCGCATGTCCGTAATAATTGCTTTAATTGCTTACAGCTAACAATTTACTACAAAATTTTTGTTATGAATGACATTCCTGTAGCAGCTGATTTACACAAACAGATCAGCTTTAATGTTTTGGAATTTACGAAAACAGAAATTATTTGTTTTGAATTATAATAATTATAATATGTTACATCAAACTTTAAATTCTACTTTGATAATTCGCACAATAAAATTTTAGCCATCAGGTCATCGGTCAGATAAATAATACCGGTTTCTATTCTGATCATTCAACGAATATAATTCGGGATAAATAATTTTTTTTTTTTTTTTTAAGAAAATTCCAGATATGACAATAAATACAAAAATTTTTAACTGTACTGCTATAGGAATATTTCCGGAATTAATAATCTTATATCACGGAATTTATTGAATTGTTTACATTTTCCGTGAATGGATCCATTAAAAGGCTCATTTTTACAGAAATAACGGATAAAATTTTTTATAGGGTTGATACGATTCTTTTGATTCTTTTCAAACAGATTGAATTTTTTATTTGTTTTATTTCATAAGTGGTTTAAGGACAAAAAGAATTTTTTTTCGTATTTTTACCGCGCGGCTGATCATCACACTGTACCAGCATTAGCAAATATTAGCGGGCGGAGTTTCATGCCATTTTTAGTTCTGCCCAAAATTCTATCCTAATTCTGGTAAGGCGACAAATGAAAATCACTAGCGTATAGTCAATACTCTTTTGTCTCGGTAATATTTTTTTATGAAGATAAAATTCATATATCTGCTGGTGATGGTATTATGATAATATACTAGAAATAAAATATTTGAGTGTTTAGTAGTGAATATTGTGTGAATCCATCAATACCTTAATTAAGGACCAAAATTGTTTATTGATTCTTTGTTGATATTAGATGAAAAAATAATAAATTTTGTAATCAATAAAGCCTAGAACCGGTTATGGTTGATGATTACTTAACCAGTTAAGACAGTTTTAAACTTATTAATATATTTCTTTTAATCATGCGTACGGAGATTGTGATAATATTATAATTAATTGAGTAACAGTAAGGTTTAAAAATTTGCGTAAAGCTGCAATTCGAGTGCACGTGATTGTTAGGCCAGAACAATCGTAATGTCAGCCTGCATTATCGTTAGAGGGAAAAAAATTAAACAATTTTGGCCCACGCTATGACATTAACTGGCCTGTTCTGATTTCTGATTTGAGTCCAAGCGCGTATTGTATTAACCCTGGTCGCAATTCAAGAAACAAACAAAACCAACGAATTCAATTTTTAAAATAAAAAATAAAATGGCGAATTAATTTTCTTGTAAGCAACCAAAAATAAAGCTTCCTTTATGAAAATATATGTTTGTTATTCCATTAATAACAGAAATATTCATCGATGCCTTGGGGGCCCCGAAGGGTGGGGAGAATCATATGGAGTATTTGTTTAGATATCCATGGAATTACCGGCTTATCTCATTGTTTATGACGGAATTTATACTTTTTTATACTTTTTTTATACCGATGGAGTAATTTACAAAAAATCCATAGGTGTATACATAATACCGATGGGATAACAGCACGTATTTTATTTTATAAAAAAGTTATCAAATAAAAATATACAGTAAATTGAAAAAAAAAATTATCTTTTTCTCAATCAAAAAAACCGAGAAAATTGACATTTTCTGTAGATATAATATAAAATAAATATAATATAAAAAATAAAATTAACCGAGAATTAATTAGAAATTATTTCCCATAAAATCACAAAAAACACCCAGAAGATTTCAATATTTTAAGAATAAGATCATCATTATGAAACTAGTATGTTAAGTAAGTGATATCACTAAAATAAATATTTAAATGACAAAAGTTTATGCGAAATTGCTTTAATTATAAACTTATTGATATAAACCATAGTTTGTCATTACTGCACATATGAATAAATTTTTTGTGCATTGTTTGTGATACAAGGAAATTTACGTGGAAGACTCGGAATTATTGTCGTGGTTTGCACACATGTAGAGCTTGAAAACAAGTAAATCCAACACAGCAACGTAATTCCCCACCACAAGATTCATTTTCTAGACCACATGAATGAATAGAAGATAAAGTCCTTCTCATGAGATGGCGTTTGTGTTTATTATTATAGCGTGCTTCAACATTTAATGTTAAAAAACAAAGAGAAACAACAAATATTGTTTTTAAGAGGGTAGAAAAATACATTGTGAATTTTGTGAATTAGAATGTGAGTATTTTCAAAAAATTAAATTCATAAAATTTTTTTCTTAAATTTGGTTAAATTTTAGGAAGCTTTATAAGAAAAATTTGAATAATTGTCAATTATATTTTTGATTGATTTATACTATTTTTATTGTGTACGAGTTTAAATAATTTCGGCAATTGTAGAAATGTAGAAACTTGTAGAATGTAGAAATTATATTGAATTAATTTCAGCATTTCTACAACGAAGTACTTTGTATAATAATTTTAAAATAGTTACATAATTTCTACGTCGATCAATTTCAGCAGGCAACTTTAAAAATAGATTCAATACTTAAAATTTCTTTTTTTAGTACTGACAATAAGACTAGGTAACAACAGTACAAGCGCAATCAATTTTTGATTATTTATTTTGTGGCCACATTTTGAAAGAATTCATTTCTCTGCTGGTTCAATTGTGCGCATGGAATTTATCATCTTAAACTTGGGGCTAGGTAGATCGTTTATGCCCATACATAATTATCCCCTGATCGTCACATTTACAAAATTATGTGATCACGCTTATACATAACTTGGCAGCAGGGACCACTAGGATGAGAATGATCCAGCCGTTAGGCTGATCATTAGTAAATCAACGGATAATTATTAATAGCATAGTTTGTCGACGCAAATTATTAATTAAATATGACCAATCTCGTTTTTGGTAGATCATTTGTTAAATTGCGATCATAATTCTGTCCAACATTATAGGATTATCCCTAATTTTTATTTTCTATTAATTAATTATGGTCTAAAACATTATCTTTCAAAAAACACCAATAATTGCTATAATCATTAATCAGCTTTTCTAAGGCATGTGATATTATGGTATTAGAGAATTGCAAATACTAGTATTTTATATTATACTGTCGTATTTATTTATTTTTCTGAGACGACACACGAATAATATACAATATAAAAATCATTAGTTTATCACGTGATAATTTTTTATAAACACCCAAAAGGCGAGACGACCCCATTTTTGTGGGGTTTGGAATATAACTTGTTTAGGATAAGTTTAGTCTGGTATTTGTAATAATTGTAACGACCAATTATGTTATTCCCTGTTCTTGTCTATATTATAAAATAAAAAAATTGACCCGGCCGGATCCCGGGTGACGTGAACCGAAAATCGGATTTTGTGTGCCCTAAAAAAACTATTGTTCAAAATTCTTTTCCGAAACTTTAAAATTTCGAACAAATTTGTTAAGATCGTCTCAAGAGCATCGTATTTTTTATTGAAATTGAAAGTGATCCAACAGACGAGATGACCCCCATTTGGTGGGGTTGGAATATACAGTAACTTGTTTAGGATTAGCTTATTCTGGTATTTGTAGTCCTTGTAACCAATTCTGTTATTCCCTGTTCTTGTATATATTATAGAATAAAAAGTGACCCGGCCAGGTCCGGGTGATGTGAACCGAAAAATCGTATCTAAAAAAACTATTGTTTAAAATTTTTTCCGAAACTTTAAAATTTCGAACAAAATTGTTAAGATCGTCTCAACGGCTATCGTATTTTTTATTGAAAATTGAAAGTGACCCAACAGGCGAGTCGACCCCCATTTGGTGGGGTTTGAATATAACCTGTTTAGGATTAGTTTAGTCTGGTATTTGTAATACTTGTAACGAACCAATTATGTTATTCCCTGTTCTTGTCTATATTATAAAATAAAAAAATTGACCCGGCCGGATCCCGGGTGACGTGAACCGAAAATCGAATTTTGTGTGTCCTAAAAAAACTATTGTTCAAAATTCCTTTCCGAAACTTTAAAATTACAAACAAGATTGTTAAGATCGTCTCAACAGCCTCGTAACAATATCATTTCATTATTGTTTTGATATTGTTAATAAATGTAATAATGGTGATGATATTGTATTATTGTAACAATATCAAATGAAATAATATTATATTTAGATGATATTGTTTAAAATTATAAGGTTTATGCAAAGACTCGGATTCGTTTATTTAAGATTTCCTAAATCGTTTTTTCCGAAAAAAACTTTATAAACGGGTTTCTCGTATTCCATCAAAAATATTCTTAAATAGTTTATCATCATTTTTATAGAGATACACTAAATAAATAATATGTAAATTGAACGCTCGTATCATAAAATTCTATTGTTTAAAGAAGTTCATTGATTACGACGTCTTTGTTACAAACTCATGAAAATCTTTCGACTTTTACGCCATCAAGAGCAGAGTGTGAGAGCTGTAGTAAAAACCATTTATCCGTGTGGAGTTTTGGGGATGATGATGTGAATTTGGTCAATCAATTTGTTAGATCAAAAATAAAGTTCCTAATCAACAAAATTCAAATTTGTATATGAAAATTTTTTAATTTATTGTATCATTTATTTTAAAAAGTCTAGTAAAATACATTTTACAGTAATTACTTTATTTTATTTGTTTTATTTATTTCATTTTTATCTATCTTATCTATCTATTTT